GTGTGTGTGTGTGTGTGTGTGTGTGTGTGTGTGTGTGTGTGTGCTGTGTCCTTGTCTGAGCCTGTCCTGCTGCGCCCGCCTTGCACCCAGGTCTCTGGGTTGGGGGGAGCCCTCGCAAGTTGGGGTGTCCGTGAGATCTCCCGGTGCGATCCAGATCCAAGGCTGAGCACCCGCGAGCTCTCCCTGCCCCAGACCCCGAAACTATGAATTGGGTTTGTCTCCAGTACCGACCCTTAAGTCCCTTTAACGAATCTAAGGTCTCTCGGGCCTCCGCCCCCTTCCACCACAATGCCCCCCCACACATACACCCCAACGCCCCGAAGCCCAGACAATGCTGTCACCGCCAAAGCAGGAAAAAATAATAAAGCAAAGAACCGTTAACTCTTTCCCCGCCAGCCTCTGTCTCTGCGTGGACGCAGCCCCACCCCCCCACCAACAACCCCAGCAAGCTCCAGTACTCCGGCCCTCGGGTGGGGTCATTCCTGCAGCCCTAGGATAGGACTAAATCCACCTTGGAAGGAGGCAGGGAGAAGGCTCGGTGTTGGTGAAGCAACCCCGGGTGGGGGAAGCGCTTTCAGCAACCCCCACTCCTGACACTCAAGGTCAGACTGAGCTGGCATCCCTTTCAGATGGGGAAACTGAGGCTGGGGAATGACTCAAGGTCATTATGGAGACCATTAGGTCCTGCTTCTGACCTCAACCCTAATTTACTGAATATTTCCTCACCCCAAAAGAGGCCGGTAATTGACAGGACTGCCCCAAACTGCCCAGGCAGCAAGAGCCTTCCTTCAGTGGCAGGGTGGGAGTGTTTCTGCCCCCCCATCATACTCCTTCTTTCGTCTAGGAACAGGGTGGCAGACAGGGAAGGGACTGGGCCCTGCACAGAAACTCCTGAGCCCCCCCACTTCCCTACCCTAGGCTCACACATACTCAGCAAGAACCACCCAGAATCCTACTAGACCCTGGGGGCTGCAGAAGCCACACACAGCTGCACTCTACCCTGGGGGGTTCCAGGCAATGCAAGTGGTGGCTTGCAGAGAGATTAGAGATTGGGACTCCCTTCCAATGCTGCCAATGGAACACCCCCGATGAAGAGAGGCATCTTCCAGATCCTTACCCCCACAAAAAAGAGGCCTGAAACCCACACTGGCCTGGGACTTGCACCTAGCAGCGTGTGGGTGCCTCCCCATAGTTCAGTACTTTCCCTTGGGACCTCCATCCCTGGCAGCTCAGCCTGAGGGCCCATTCACTGGCCTTCGGCCTTTTTTTTTTTTTTTTTTTTTTTTTTTGCCCATCTTATAAGCATTTTAATCTTGGTACCAGCATCCCGTCCTGAAACTGGGTAACCCAGACCACCTCCCTTGGCCACTCCTGGACTGGCAGAGGGTGGGAGCTGTCAGCACTGCCTCCCTCTGGCAGCCACTCAGCGAACACTGCAGCAAGCAGCCGCTTCTGCCGAGAAGAAACAGCAGGCCTGTGTCCTCCATTTCCGCCAGTTGCTAGGAACTCCGATGAGACACAGGTCCATTCCCAGCAAGGAGCTCGGGCTAAGTGGCAGGCAAGATTTCTAGATATGTGGGGCAGGATGGAAGAGGCTTTAGCAAGTATTGTCACATCACATGTGATACGCCCCTACTAATGGCACGCATGTGATCAGGCACCCTGGCATGATAGAGGGAACTGGCCACTTCAAGGCTGGTTGACTGAACTTCAGAAGGCCGCTTTAGGCTGTCTTACTCCGTGGCCACCATCAAGAAATTAAGGAGACTCAGATTGCCCACGGGGCTGATCCCCAGTGAGCTCCCTACAACACTCCCTCTGGAGGGAGCTAGCAGAAAGCCCAACCCTGAACTGAGGGATGGCCTTGGAGGGGGAGTCCCCAGTCATATCTTCAACTATAGGAACCGAGGATGGCACAGACCCAGAAGCTGGGAGGGCCCTGGAGAGCTGGTTCATCCTGCCTTCCGTCTCAGGCCAGCTGAACCCAGAGATTTGAACTTGCCTAGGGCCGGAGGCCTCGTCCATAGAAGCATTGGGGTCCCCACCCCTCACTGGACTATCCAGAAAATGGTCTCATCATAACCCAGAGTGGGGAGTGTCACACAGACACATAGGCCCTGGCAGAGAGATGGAGGGTCCTTGCCCTCTAAACCAGTTTCCCTTCGCCCACACTAAGTGCCCCCCCCAGGAGCCCACATGCAAGCCCAGTGAGGGAGCTGTGTCCCTTCTCCTGATTTTACAACTGAAGAAACCTGAGGCTGGGGGTACATGCCCAGGGTCACCCCCCCCCAAAGCCACACACTCCACCTCAGCCACAGCTACTTATGTCTCATCCTACCCCGCCTCCACCCCCGCCCCACAGCAGTCCCCATGCTTGTGGCAGAACTGGTGTCTCCTTCCTTCTTTCAGTCCCTGTCACCTCCCCACCTAGAAGTGTGGGTGCTCATCACCCTGCTCCCCTGAAAACAGGACCCCTCTAGGTACATCAGATATAAGATCGAGCCTTGCCCCCGTTCTCTGGGGCCTCAGACAAATCAGTTAACCTTGCTGAGCCTCTCGTTCCTCATCAAGAAAATGGACTTCATTCAGGACTGACTCTCACCCGGTGCTGGGAGATGCATGAGCTGAGCATGCGCATTGTAAGGACCCAGAACCCTGGACTTAACCCCTGGCCAGGCGGTGCGGTTATGTGCCTAGTGATGGCAACAGGGGCTCAGATCCTGGGTCCAGTGAAGGCGACGCTCTCCCTGGGGCACTTGTCATTCAGGCCTTTTCATCTCTTTTGCCTTTGAGATTCTTTATGAGCCATGGTGGCATGCGAAGTAGGGGGAGCCCAGGTCCTTAAAGACTGGGGTGTCCAGATCCATCTGAGAGGAAACTGGGCTTGCCTCTGCAGCACCATGGTGTGTCCCCACCAAAGGGGACCAGGAGTACTGACTTTAGACATCCTGCACCCCAGGATGCATTTTCTCTGTGCTCTAGAGGGAGGTCTTAGCAGGCTTTCTTAGCCAAGTGGCATTTAGAAGGTGTGAGAGTAACCCCTCTTGATTTTTTTGTTTTGTTTTGTTTGCTTGTTTGATTGTTTTTTGTTGGTTGGTTGGTTGGTTGGTTGGTTGGTTGGAGTTTTTTTTTGTTTTTGGTTTTTTGGGGGTTTTTTGTTTTTTGAGACAGGGTTTCTCAGTTAACTATGGAGCCTGTCCTGGAACTTACTCTGTAGACCAGGCTGACCTCGAACTCACAGAGATCCATCTGCCTCTGCTTCCCAAGTGCTGGGATTAAAGGTGTGCGCCACCACTGCCCTCCTTGAAAGACCCCTAGAGGCTGATGCCTGGGTTAGCTCCTTTAGGACGACCTCCTTTCTCTCCAGAGCTGTGTGAGTAAGGACAGCCCACTTGCAAACTCCTCTTCCTTCAGCTTTGGTGCCCTTCTCAGTATTTGCTTTCCCTGACACTGGCTTGACTGGGCCGGGAGAAGGTGCTTCGGAGGAACTGGGAAGCAGCCCACCTCCTTGCTGCCCCTGGAGAAGCTGCCTAGACCTACCCTGGGGTTCCAGCCAAGCACAGCCACCCTTAGTCCTTGGGACCTGAGGCTTTACTGTCCCTTTTACCTTCTGAGAAGCCTCAGCCCCAGCCTGCCTATGTGGTACAGGGACTGAGCCTTTGCTAGCCCTGGGCTACTTTTCAAAGAGCAAGGTTTCCCTCAGGGCTGCCCCCAGGCCAGGACTGAACTTTCTCCAGGCCTAGCAGCCGTGAGGGAAAGCATTAGCCCCTTAATCAGACTGGACAACTCAGTCACCAGGAACCCAACCTCCCTATTGGGAAACCCCCTCCCAACATAGAGTCTCTGGCCAGGCTAGGATAAAGGCCACACTGTTCCCCTGGAGGGGAGAGGAGGGGCTGGAGAAAGGTGGCTCTGTTGGCTGCACAAGGCCCCATTCAGCCTGGGGCCTACTTGTCCCAGGCAGGCTGACCAGGCTGTGGAGCAGCCATGGCCTCCCTGGTCCTGTGAGCCACCAGTGCTAGCCAGGGTTGACTAGCTTGCCCAAAGCAGCTCCCGGGCCACATTAGACTTGTGTACCTTCAGTTCTGCCAATCTCCACCTTCCACAGCACCCCTCCCACAAGCACTAGCAGGTCAGGGCCCACCTTCTACCACATGTGCAAGAGATATGGTGTCTTCCTTTGGGCTGAACCCAGAGCCTAATAAGAAAGCCCCTGAAGAGACTGTCTGCCACCCACTGTCTCCTCCGTCTCTCCTAAGGGAGCAGCATGGGTGACACCAACTGTGGACACTTCTTCACGCCTAGTCCTGTACCTGGGGCCCTCTCTGTGCGGGGACAGGGCCGTCTCAGAAACTGCCCAGAGTTTGGACGTGTGGGGAGCCCTGTAGCCCCATATCTCACAACATCTTCCTTCCTCTCCCATGTCACAGAGCTCCTATCCCATCTGGGAGGACTTCAACTCCAAGGCCGCGAAGCTCCACTCTCAGCTGAGGTGAGCCTGTGCAGGGTTTTCCACGCTGGGCAGGGATGGATAGAGAAGGACCTCTCACCTACTGACCATACACTCCACTGTGTGTCTCCCCAGGACCACCGTGCTGGCTGCTGTGGCCTTCCTAGACGCCTTCCAGAAAGTAGCTGACATGGCCACCAACACCCGAGGTGGGGAGGGGGGCGTGGCTGGAGGTGGGGGATGTGCCTGGTGGGCCGGGAGGCTGGAAAGGGATATGGGCCGTGGGAAGGACACAAAGGCCAGAATGGAGACCTTGGCTTCTGCTGTGATGGCATGGAACAGGTGAGCAGTGGCAGGGATGTTACCAGGAAATCATCGTCTTGCAGTTATAGGCGACTCTGTAGTTTTTCAGCCATCCCCATCTGCCTTCTGCGAGTTGTTTGGTCACAGTGAATAGTCCTTGGGGACTCGGAGGCCCCTTTCCTCCTGGTTCATCTAGCAAGCACCTGGGCTTCTGTGCTTTTGAGTGATAACCCAACCCAGGGCTTCTTCCTCCGGAATCTGCACACACCTGGGTCCTAATAGAACCATTCAGAAATTTTGCTGGCTTTTCCTTGGGCGACTCATCTTTGTCCCAGTTAGGAAGGAGGGAAGGCTTCCATACTGGCAGAAGGGTACCTGAAGCCAGAAGCCAACGAAGGCTAGGATGGCCCGAGGTCCCAGCCCTAGTTTGGTGATGGAGGTGGGGCAGGGGCTTCCTTTGTGGAACAGCGCGCCCCCTCGTGGCCCGAGGCCGGGACTGCAGAGACCCCCAGCCAGGCCCCTTCCTATGCAGCTTGTTTCCTTGCCAGGGGCCACGCGGGACATTGGCTCAGCACTCACGCGCATGTGCATGCGCCACCGCAGCATCGAGACCAAGCTGCGGCAGTTCACCAAGTGAGTGGGCACAGAGGATCGTAGGGGTATCCTAACCTAGAGAGGCCATCCCTGCCCTAGCTCGGAGCCCTAGAGCCCTGATCCACAGCTCTCTCCCGCAGCGCACTGCTGGAGAGTCTCATCAATCCACTGCAGGAGCGCATCGAAGACTGGAAGAAGTCAGCCAACCAACTGGACAAGGACCACGCGAAAGGTAGAGTGGGGTTTTGCGAGGGTTTCCTGAACATCTCCACAGGAACCCCTTACTATAGACCCCTCTTGCCTCTGCACAGAGTACAAACGAGCCAGGCATGAAATCAAAAAGAAGTCCTCCGACACACTGAAGCTGCAGAAGAAAGCGCGCAAAGGTACAGCCCGCGGCACCCCCGCTGAGGCCCAGTCCCTTGGGCCCCACTCTTTAGCCCCAACCACCCTGTGGAGCACCCCCAGGGTATCAATCATCCTGGCCAGGGGGATCCTATCCCCAGCCCAGGACACTCCAACATGTCGGGTGGGACTGAGGGAGCACCCAGCACCCCAGACTGCCCAGGCCCCCACCCCTCCCCAGGAGTGGCTCATCCGGCTGTCTTTCACACATTCTTTCTTTCTCTGTCTCCTCTCCTCCTCCCACATCCGTCCTGTAGAGCTGCTTGGTAAGTCAAATGTCCGTCTCTCCAGCTGCTCCTTCCGTCCTTGTTGCATTTGTCTGCCTTCGCCCTCACCCCCCAGCTCAGGGCCATTGGAAGGAACCTCTCCAGGCCAAGAAGGAACAAAGAAGGTGTTTGGTCCACCAAGGGAGGGGCCTGGGGCACACTTCCCCTGGTGTCCTTGGGACCCCTGGCCAGAAGTGAGTCCCAAGCCACTGCTGGTTCAGTCTGCCAGGCCAGGAGGGGTTCACTGTGTGGGCAGGGTGGGGGTCGTAGGCCCTGGCTCCCCCACTCCCTCCAGGCCAGCCAGGTCCTTACCTGTTACTGACTCCTTCAGCCTCACCATTTCCTCCACATCCATCCTCTCTCCCCTCCCCTCTCTCTCTCTCTCTCTCTCTCTCTCTCTCTCTGCTTCTTTGTGCTGTCCTTGTTGCTGTCCTTGTGCACTGGTGCCCTAGCTGAGTTATGATCCTTGCTGAGACACTCTTCTTTGCTCCCAAGGCCCGGCTACAGCTCCTGACCCCTGCACCTCTTAATGGCCTGACCTGAAGCTGAGCTGAGCACCTACCCTGCTCTATGTCCTGCTTTCATCCATTTCCCTCTCTCTCTCGAGGTCAGGGCTACCGTGCTGGGCCAGTTAAAGCATCCTGAGCGATAGAGGCCTCCAGCTGGCCTCCCTGTGGTCTAGCTTACCCCAGATCCCAGGTGGCTGTGCAGCTTGGTGTCGCTGTGTCTGTCTGTCCGTGTGTCTTCTCTGCCTGCTCTGGTGGGACCAGCCCCTCTACAAGCCTTAAGTCTGCTCCATGGTCCCTGGCTCCTTTGTCCCCAACCCCACAGCCAAAACACCACCACAGGGCCTAAACTGTGGGTACAGCCAACCAGGCCAGCGTCCCCAGCGCGGCCTCTCCTCCCAACCCCTGCAGGGAAAGGAGACCTGCAGCCTCAGCTGGACAGCGCACTGCAGGACGTCAATGACATGTACCTGCTCCTGGAAGAGACAGAGAAGCAGGCAGTGCGCCGAGCGCTGATTGAGGAGCGGGGTCGTTTCTGCACCTTCATCACCTTCCTTCAGCCTGTGGTGGTGGGTCTCTCGATGACTTGGCCCCTCCTCCCTGGGGAGGGGCAGGGAACAGACCCAAGTTAGACCCGCTGAACCTCCTAGATTGCTTCTTGGGGATCCTGGGGGAATTCACTCAGGGCCCAGTGTACCTGATCTGAAAGCAGGTCTTACAGTGTGTGACATTCTGACCGAGTCTAGACAGATGGTTATAGAAGTTACCCTGGTTGTACGGGCTCAGCCTGGATCAGCATTGATGATCAGGGAAGGGCAAAAGAGGAAAGGCCTAACAGGCCTGTTTTGCCAGAGTGGGTGACCAGGTGTGGGGGCCAAGGGACTGACTGGTTGCTTCCTCAGAACGGCGAGCTGACCATGCTGGGAGAGATCACCCACCTGCAGGGCATCATTGACGACCTGGTGGTGCTGACCGCAGAGCCCCACAAGCTGCCTCCCGCCAGTGAGCAGGTGCGGCCGGCCTTGGAGTCAAGGGCCAAGACCAGGACCAGGGAAGAGGCGGTCCTGCCCTCATGTGGGGGACAGTAGATAAAAGAGGGAAGTATTTTGGGGAGGTATTTGGGGGAAGGAGACCAGGGATTTCTGGGAATACCGGCCCTGGTGACATATGAAGTGCTCAGGACCCAGTAGGGCTCAAACCAACACAGATGGGCAGAAACCAGGTCCCTGGGGCTTGGCGCTTCAAAACCATAGAGATCCTGGCTGCCATCCACTCCCAGAACACCATCCCTTCCCATTGAGCCAAACCCACCCACCATACAGAGAAACACACTGCACTGGACACCCCTGTGATTGGGTCGTCCTGCGTACCCCACACTCCGTAGCACAACCCCCTCAGGTTATCTCACTGGGTTCTTTCAGTGGTGTTCTAAGCTGACTCTAGCTCACAGGAGAAAGCAAGACTCAGAAAGGTCCAGAGACGATCTCAAACCCTGATGTCATGGCACTGTCTTGACATGAGTCCTCGGGAGCACCTGCTTGTCCTTCATCTCCTGCCTGGCAGGACAGGGCTCAGTAATAAGCCTGCATTGGGAGAAGGCTAGGGTGGCTTTGAGATCTTCTGAGACATAGTTCATAGCTCAGGACAGAGGGGGGATGTCCTGCCATGCCAGCTCTCTGAAGCATGATAAGACATTCTGCAGGTTAGGAGCTGCCTCTAATGACCGCTCCCATGTCTCTGTCCAGGTGATTAAAGATCTGAAGGGCTCTGACTACAGCTGGTCGTACCAGACGCCACCCTCGTCACCCGGCAGCTCCAGCTCCCGGAAGTCTAGCATGTGCAGGTGGGTGGGGATGTAATCCCAGGAAGGTCTAGGGGATCCTAGGAAAGCTGAGTTGGCACTTGCTTCAACACCCCAGAACTCACATAGCATCTAAGCACCCCAAAGACTTTTCACATGTAGAGGACATGGGTACAGGCGTTGGTTGGCAGGAAAGGCAGGCAGCAACTTCATTGATGGGGCATCTTGTGTGCCAGGCACCAAAGGTTTTTCTGCAGTGAGTCCTAGCTCCATTGTGTCAGGAGGGGAACTAAGACACTTGAGTGGTGATTTAGCCCTCTGTCTCTGCCAGGCTTAGGACACTGTGGTATGGTACTAAGACAGTGAGGTCAAAGTTCATGGTGATGCAGGCCAGTAATCCTAGCACTTGGAGAGGGAAACAGGAAGATGGAGGATTCAGAGCCGGCCTGGGATGCTTATTAAGACCCTGTCTCAAACAAGAAATTTTAACAATAGGTGGAGCACCGTTTGTGGTAGTGCAGGCTACATAGTGAGTGTCAGGGCTGTGCAGAGAAACTCTGTTGCCGGGTGGTGGTGGTGGTGGTGGTGGTGGTGGTGCAAGCCTTTAATCCCACCATTTGGGGGAGGAGACAGGAATTCAAGGTCATTCACAACTGTCTATCAAGTTGGAGGCCAGCCAAGACTATATGAGACTCTACCTCAATAAACAAAACTAAAAAAGAGTCTAAGATCAAGAAGTGGTGTGGTGGTTTCTGGGAATGTCTGTTTGGGCTTCATGGTAAAGGACAGTCCAGTCTGCTGGTTTGCTCAAGTTGCCACAGGCTTCAGCCCTGGCTTGCGTGGGCTTTTTAGGTCTCAGAGATGGAGAGAGGCTAGGAGTCTTGCTCATCCATCAGACTGGCCCAGAGATCAGTTTGAAGGAGATGTTTTTGGTTCAAGGGTCCTCATAGGGAGGACAATGAACTCAGAACAGCTTATAGATTAGGGAAGTAATCTGTTCCAGGTACCCCATTCCCCTGAATGCTCTCTGTCGGGCACTGGGAGCTAGAGAGAAGCTGGACCCAGGGGTTAAGTGGTATGTGGGCCCACAGCCTCAGGGACCTCTTCAGACATTGAGTGGCAGTGGCCATCCTAGGAGGAATGTGAGAACAAAGGAGATAATTCAGGGGTGGGGCTCTGGAAGCCCAAGGCCACACCCAGGAGAAAGGCTGTCTTCACTGCCAGGAATGCTAGCCAGAGTTGGAATGACTGGACAAAAGGGATAGCCACAGAAATCTGCATCCCTAGAGGGGGGTGACAAGGTAGCACCCACCTGGCAAGCAGCCTCCATTTCCAGATGCCCCCACTCACCATATGCCAGATACCCAACTGTCACTAGACCGTAGCGGCAGTTTAGGCGCTGTCAGGCTTGTGTCTGCTCTCAGTTTCCAATGCCTGGTGACTCAGCTTCCCCATCCCGAACCTATGAACAAGCAATCTGATGGTAATGTGGGAGGCAGAGGGACTCCTCACGTTGGGTGTGCCCTGACGGGGACTCCCCAGCACTCAGACATACCATCCCGGAACGCTTCAGTAGTACCTGGGTCTCGGGACCTCGTAGTCTGACATTTTCTTTTCTTTCCTTTGCTCCTCATCTCTCCCCACCCTCATCTGTCACCCTTCCCTCTCTACACACACCTGTGTCTCCCTGTCTGGCTGCCGTGCCCTCCTTCACTCCCTTAGTGCCCCCAGCAGCAGTAGCAGTGCCAAGGGTGGCGGAGCCCCATGGCCTGGGGGTGCCCAAACATACTCACCCAGTTCCACCTGTCGCTACCGCAGCCTAGCGCAGCCAGCCACCACCCGCCTCTCCAGCGTCTCCTCCCACGACTCTGGCTTCGTCTCCCAGGATGCCACCTACTCCAAGCCCCCTTCGCCCATGCCTTCCGACATCACCAGCCAGGTGAGAGACTATCAGGAGGACCACATGGGTGGGGAACGGGCCTCAGGCTGTCGTGGAGACTGGTCCCATGGCCTTCCTGGTGTTCCACGTTTCTATCATTGATCTCCACCTCCACGCTGCTTTTAAACAGTGTATTGTGGTTTAGATGAGTTTCTTAAAAAGCCTGCCCCTGGATTTTCTTGTTTCATCCAACCTGACGTTTTCTGTGGGGGGATCAGAGCCCAGCGCCTTGTCCAGGCTAGACAAGCACTCGGTCACCGAGCTGTTCTCCAGCCTTAGCCTTTTGTGTCCGTGGCCGCTTGTTGCTCATTGTTTAATGCGGGGGATGTTTTGCCTGCACTTTGTGCGCTGTTTACGTGCCGGGTATCTGAGGAGTTCAAAAGAGGGCATTAGATTTCCCAGAGCTAGAGTCATGGGCCATTGGGAGCTGCAATGTGGATGCTGGGAAGGGAACCAGGCGCTGAGCTGTCACTCACACATGTGCTTTTTTTTTTTCAGTCAGGGACGTAGGTAGCACAGATTGACCTGTGTGTGTGTCTGTGTCTGTGTATGTCTGTGTATGTGTGTCTCTGTCTGCCTGTGTGTATATGTGGGGGGGTATCTGGGTGTGTGTGTGTGTGTGTATGTGTGTCTGGGTGTGTGTGTCTGTGGGGGGGTCTGTGTGTCTGGGTGTGTAGGTGTGTGGGTGTGGGGTTGTCTGTGGGCATGTCTGGGTGTGTATGTGTGTGTCTGGGTGTGTGTGTCTATCTGTGTGGGGGAGGGTCTGGGTGTGTAGGTGTCTGGGTGTCTGGGGGTGTCTGGGTGTGTAGGTGCACAGGGCTGCAGATGCTCACGGATACTCAAGGTCAACTTTGGGTTTTATTTCTCAGGAGCCGTCCACCTTACTTTCTGAGGCAGGGTATCACTGGCCTGGAACTCACCAAGTAGGCTAGACTGGCCGGTTCCACGTGTCCTTGCTTCCCCAGTACAGGGATTGCAAGCATACATAACCATGCTTGGTTTTTTTAAAAATACATATGTTTCTTTTTACTATTTTAAATTGTGGGTAGGTGTGTGTCTGCGTGTGACTGCAGGTGCGCTGGGAGTCAGAGGCATTGGGCTCCTCCAGCTGAAATTACAGCCAGCTGTGAACTCTCTGGCATGGATGCTGGGAACCGAACTCAGGCGCTCTGGGAAAGCAGCAGCTCTTGGTCGCTGAGCCAGCCCTCCAGCCATGGCTTGACTTTTCTCTATGTGTTCTAGGGATCAATCTCAGGTCCTCTCTCTTGCCGTCTCTCAGTCCCCAGTCATTATGTGGTGACTTTCATTGCTTCTGTTCTTCTGCTAGGGTTATAATTAAATGTATGTCACACCTCCTTCTGACTTCCTCTCTCTCTCTCTCTCTCACTACTACCCAATAAGGGGTTAGGACTTTTTTCTTCAATTGATTCTTAAATGGTTTGCTTTGTTTCTGTTGTTGTTGTTGTTGTTTTAAATCAGGAGCAAGTTTTCCCTGTGTATTGCAGGCTGACCTCAAACTAGCAATCTCCCTGCTTCAGCTTCCCAAGTGCTAGGATTCCAGAACTATACCTCCAAGTCTGGCTTATTTCGATTTAGGTTTATAGACGAGCTGCAGGAAACATACAGAGTCCCCAGGCATCCTGTCCACAGTCTAACCTCAAGATCAATATCTTATCTTGGCACCAAACAATTTTTTGTTTACTTTACCCCTTGTTTTTTTTTAAACAGTGTCTCATTGTGTAACTCAGGCTGGTCCCAAACTCTCAGTCTTCTTGCCTCGACCTTCTAAATGTTGTGATGTGGTTGTGAGCCACCACTCCCAGTTTAAATACAAAGGTGAAATGCTTTTTGTCCAGTACTAAGAATGGAATCCAAGGCCTCATGCAGGCCAGGCAAGCACTCTACCACTGAGCCCCCAACCATCTTCAAACCCAGGAAAATAAGACTGGTCCAGAAGCATCGTATCACATGTTCTACAACCTTTTGTTTGTTTCCTTTTGCTCTGTTTTGTTTCATTTGGGTCCCCCCAGCCCTCTCCCACACACACACACACACACACACACTGGCTAGTTTTCACTCTACTGTCCTTCCATCTGGTCCAGGAGACCAGCGTCCAGCACAGAGTCCTATGTTGCACTGAGTTCTTGTGCCCTCTACGCTTCTCCCATGTGTAATGGTCCAGTTTTCTTTCTTTCCCAACTTTGATATTTTGAAGACTACCATTCAGGCATTCTGTAGGCTGCCTATGAGTTTGGGCTGGTCTGATGTCCTCTTGTTGAGAATAAAAGGTCAAACATCTCTAGCAAGAACACCACGGAAGTGGTGCTGTGTCCACTGTGGGGTGTCATTTTGCCTCGTGACTGGTGACGAGGTGGAGCTGATCAGACTACCCATTGTTTATTTTCCTTTTGTAATTAATGAAGTATCATATGGGTGGCACCTTGGGACTCTGTAAGTACCCTGTCCCCATCCACCATTCACACCTTCATTTCAGCGTCTTCACCTGTTACGGTAGGTATTTCCCGATTTCATCTTTCCTCCCAGATTTATTAACTGAAATTCCACTGTAAAATCAACCTGTCCCTTCTCCCCATAAATTTGTGTAGACAATTACTTTTTGATGCCATAATGGACTCATAAAACTACTTGATTCTATGGGTTAAAACCCATTACTACTGAGTCTCAAGAATTTTTTAATTGATATATACTGTGTCCATCCATGCAAAGTCAGTGTGTCGCAATAGTATATCTGAATAAGTCTGCAAACTGAACACTCAGCGCAGCCAGCACAAAAAGCAAGACACAGCTTGATCCCCAAAGTCTGCATTACTCCATTGCTACCCTCCCACACGTGGCTGTGTGTGTGTGTGTGTGTGTGTGTGTGTGCGCGCGCGCGCACACACACACACACGTGCCTATAGCTTACTAGGCTAGGAGTATAGTTCAGTTGTCAAGCCTTGGATTTGATCCCAGTACCACAAAAAATTTACGTATATGGTTTATATGAAATCATATAGTACGTGCCTTATGTATTGACTTCTGCTCTTAGCATTATGTTTATGAGACATTAGATTCATCTGTTCTACATGGAAACGCATATCATTTTCATTGATATGTAACATTCCATTGAATGTGTATGTAATTTATTTGTGTAGTCTGTGTTTTCGGGACATTTAGATAGTCCCCTGGTATTCTAGGTTCATTTCTGTTGCTATGATAAAATATCGTAACAAAAAGGCCTCTTAAAAGAGAAAGGGAGTTATTTATTTATTTGTTTATTTATCCAGGTTATAGTCCATCCTTATGGGGAAGCCAAAGTAGGAGCTTCAAACAGCTCATTGACAGTCACTTGCGGAGAGCAGTGAATGAACACATACATGTTTCCTTATTTGCTGTGCTCAGCCTGATTTCTCTGCTCACACAGATCAGGACCCCCTGCCTAGGGAGTGGTGCCGCCCACAGTGGGCTGGATCGCTTAGTTCAAGACCATCCCCCATTGTGCACAGGCCAATCTCTCTTCTCAAGGGTGAATATATTCTGTCAAGTTCACACTGCACTTTCTAGTACACAGTTCTGTGGGTAGGAGTAGAATTGTTGAATCGCAGGATTGTTACTAACAAGGTTACGACAGTTATTGGCTATGCCGCATCCCTACCAGTCCTGGTGTTTTATAACTTTCCACTTTAGCCATTTTAATAGACATACAGCAGCAGTACCCCGTATTTGAATGTTCCTTATGATAATGTGGTAGAAAGTTCTTCATATTTTTTCTTTGAGACAGGGTCTCGCTACATAGCCCTGGCTATCCTGGAACTCACTCTGTAGACCAGACTGAACTCAGATTCACAGAGATTGGCCTGCCTCTGCCTCCCGCGTGCTGGGATTAAAGTTCTATGCTGCTAGGCCTAATGTATTTTTTTTCATACTTTTAAAGTTCATTTTAATATATTCTTTTGTTCAGGGCCTATTCATATCTTTTGCCCATTTTCCATGAGAGAAAGAGTGTTTGTGTATGTGCTGGTTTTTAGAGCTCTGCACGTATTATAGACATGTGTCCTTCAGCAGAAATGCTCTCTTGAGTATACATTTTCCTGCATTCGTTTGCACCGCTACATGCAGTGCCTGAGGAGGCCTGAAGAGTGCATCAGAACCCTTAGAACTAGAGTTACCATGTGCGTGCCGGGAACTGAGCCCAGGTCTTCTACAAGAACAGCAAGTGCTCTTAACTGCTGAGCTGTCCCTCCAGCCCCTTTAGTAGTATCTGAAGGACTAGTTCTAATTTTAAAATCAGTTCAATTTATCCATCTTAAAGATCATTGGTTCTTTTGCTGTCCTGAGATATTGAATCATTCAAAGACTCGTTATTCTGTCATCTTATTTCTCCATCCCTTTACTCTCTGATTTCTTTTTTTTTTTTAAGATTTATATATTTAGGGGGCTGGAAATAGCTCAGTGGTTAAGAGCACTGACTGCTCTTCCAAAGGACCTAGGTTCAAATCCCAGCACTCACATGGCAGCTCACAACTGTCTATAACTCCAGCATCTGACACCCTCACATAGATATACATGCAGGCAAAACACCAAGGCACACAAAATAAATAAATTTTTTTAAAAAAAAGAATTATATATTTATTGTATGTACAGAGTTCTGTCTGCATGTATGCGTGCATGCCAGAAGAGGGCACCAGATCTCATTATAGATGGTTGTGAGCCATGATGTGGTTGCTGGGAATTGAACTCAGGACCTCTGGAAACACAAACACAGCCAGTGCTCTTAACCACTGAGCCATCTCTCCAGCTTCTCTCTTATTTCTTTCTCCTGCTTTATTGCACTGGCAGAGATTGCTAGCACTAAGTAAATATGTTGATAGTGGATGTCTTTGTCTCTTCTCCAGCCTCAGAGGGAAAGGTGTCAGCATTTCTGTGGATCTTCTCTTTTGGGCTAAAGAAGTTTCGTACTGTTTGTGTTTCGTATGGCTTGTGTTGTTTCATTTTTCAGTGCGTGGACGTTGAATTTCCTTGTTGAGTTTTAACACTGGATTCCTTAACTGTTATAATGTCACGTTGCTGAATGTGAATGCGTTATTTCCCCCTCGGTATCTTCCCCTCTGGTGCTTTGCTCTCTTTCATTCGGGTGATTTTGACTCTCCACTGTAGGAAGTCTAGTGGTCTAAATGGGGGGTGGTATGGAAATGGTGGCGGGGAAGGTACTGCTGAAGCTACCCTGGCCTGGCTGACCCATCCCACAGTGTGGGGCATCCCCCGCCTCCAGTTCTGGTCTCAGCGCCAGAGTCAGCATCCTCCTCAAGCTCCTGTACCCGACTATCCTCTTCCTCCCGGCCGCTGAGTGTCAGCGTACCCAGAGACTCACGCGCCCCATCCTGCCCGACCGCTGCCCAGTGCCTGGCCACAGTCCCAGTCCTTCCCTTACTCCAGGTCATACGTGTGGTTCGGCACAAAGAGCTGATGGGCAGCTCAGCCACATGTACCCAGAATGGCGCTCAGGACTCCAGAAAATAGTGACATCATCGACCAAGATGCCCAAACCAAACATCTGTCTTTGTCCTCGGTGTCGCTCTTTCCTTTGCTGCCATGTATAAGCTGTCATAGTGAATCCTAAGTTGAAGACTTAAAATTACAGACTGGGTTGTGGGCAAGTTGGTGCCTGCAGGATGTTCCCTGGGCCGCTGCCTGCTGTGGGGGTCTTGGCGACTCTCATACCAGGAGGGGAGTACGGGGTGGCGTGCTTTATCAAACCGCTCACCGCATGCTACCGCTGTGACCAGAACTCTTTTCTCCTCTCTGCCTCCCTGGCCTGTCTGTCCGTGGGCCGCCATCTGCGACCACCCGCTCGCCTCTGCATGGCAGAAGTCCTCCAGCTCTGCGTCCTCCGAGGCCTCAGAAACCTGCCAGTCGGTTAGCGAGTGCAGCTCCCCCACCTCGGTCAGTGCCCTTGGCCCCAGTCCCATTGCCGCCACCAGCCGCCCACCCCGTGCCCTCCTGACCCGGGACAGTTGCCACAGCAGGGCAGCTAGATTCCGCGAGAAAGCAGTATGTAATGGAGCTTTCTTTGTGAAGTAGCCACTTGGGCGTTTGCTGTGGCCATACCTTTGAGTCTTGGAACAACCTGCCCTGCTCTGAGCTGGTGGGACAGAAGTCAGCACTGCCCACCAGATTTGGGCCTTATTGTAAACAATAGACCCCTCACAGATCAGCACCCCCTGAGCCTCAACCACAAAGAAGGGCCTCTTCGGTCACAGGCAGTAAGGCCAAGGGTCCTTCTGACTTGCTTGCCCTCCCTTGCAGGACTGGACCAAGGCGGGTCCCCATGAGCAGTCCTCAGCCACCACCCTGCAGCGGAGGAAAGATCGTGTGGAGCTCCTGCGCGACACTGAGCCAGGCCCTGCTGGTGGAAGCATTATGGGCTCCAGTGGAGAGGAGGTACCACGACCCAGGATGTCTCCTGCCACCATAGCAGCCAAGGTAAGTAGACAACTCCCCAGCCAGGCCCCACCTCTGTTCTTAAGTCAATGCCAAGATGCCCACATGCCCACAGGTGGTCTTCAGGGCCTACTCTCTCCACCTTAATGGAGCTTCCTAAAGTCCCTAAAGTGGGTTTGACGTGGCGTGTGAGGCTTTAGTCCACCATTTTCCCCACCCTCAGCATGGTGAGGAAGTGTCCCCTGCAGCCAGTGACCTGGCCATGGTGCTGACCCGTGGACTGAGCCTGGAACACCAGAAGAGCAGCCGGGACTCACTGCAGTACTCCAGCGGCTACAGCACACAGACCACCACGCCTTCGTGCTCCGAGGACACCATTCCCTCCCAGGGTAGGCCTAGAGGGGTCCCTCAGGCTGTGCATGCTTGCTGGGCCTTCACAGTCCCAGGACCCACCCAACCCAGGACAGCTGGGATGAGGCCTGCCTTCCTTCTCTCTGTCTCCCTTGAGTAGATGTGGGGTTCAGGGAGCACCTTGGTCCTGGGCTCACCACACCCTGTGTCTCCAGGCTCAGACTATGACTGCTACTCTGTGAATGGGGATGCCGACAGCGAGGGCCCCCCTGAGTTTGACAAATCATCCACCATCCCCCGGAACAGCAACATTGCCCAGAACTACCGTCGCCTGATCCAGACCAAGCGCCCTGCCTCGACTGCTGGGCTGCCCACCGCAGGGCTGCCCACAGCCATGGGGCTACCTTCAGGTGCACCTCCTGGTGTGGCCACCATCCGCCGCACACCCTCTACCAAGCCCACTGTGCGCCGCGCCCTGTCCAGTGCTGGCCCCATCCCCATCCGCCCACCCATTGTCCCTGTGAAGACACCCACGGTGCCCGACTCCCCTGGTTATGTGGGGCCCACTCGGGCGGGCAGCGAGGAGTGTGTCTTCTACACAGACGAAGTGGCCTCACCTCTGGCTCCAGACCTGGCCAAAGCCTCCCCGAAGCGGCTCAGCCTTCCCAACACAGCCTGGAGCAGCCCATCCCCGGAGGCGGCCAGCTACAGCGGGGCTGGAGTAGGGCTGGCTGCTGAGGACGAGGAAGAGCAGCAGCTGGCTGCCAACAGGCACAGCCTGGTAGAGAAGCTCGGGGAGCTGGTGGCCGGCGCCCATGCCCTGGGTGAGGGCCAGTTCCCCTTCCCGACGGCTCTGTCAGCCACTGCCTCAGAGGAGACACCCACCCCACCCCCTGCTGCCACCAGTGACCCCCCAGCCGAAGACATGCTGGTGGCCATTCGACGCGGGGTCCGACTCCGCAGGACCGTCACCAACGACAGGTCGGCGCCCCGCATCTTATGATGGTGCCACCCTCCCCTTCACATTTGGGCTGGCACAAGTAGGGGGCCTGATCTGCAAGCAACGGCCAGCCACTCTGAGCAGTGGCACAGCCAGAAGACAGAACAGCGCCAGGAATGAGGCACAGCCACTTTAAAGAAAGACGACCAGGCTGATCTCAGCATCTCACGGGAAGCGACTTCCTTTCTGCACCTCGCCAGGACAGAGCCTGTTTTATACTTTCCTCACCTACTCCTCCTTCCTGCAGGCCCAGAGCCCATAACCAAGGGCTGGGCTTGCCACATGAGCCCCACCTGGCCCGGGGTCCACAGTTCTCTTCCTCTGGTCCCACTGCCCCCCAGGGCCATATGCCCAGCTCTTTCCTTGAATGCTGGCTCCCTCTTCTCCCTGCCTGGGCCCTGCCCCCTTTCCTCTTGCCTTTACCCTGCCTCTCCCAGACTCCACTTTTGGGGGCAGGATGGTCATGGGAGGGGCCAGGCACCCAATCAGCTGAGTATCAGTTTGTGACTGGGATTAGGGAATAGTCAGAGGTTGGGAAGCCAGGCCCACTTGTGTGGAAAGAGAGCCTAGAGGGAGGAAATGTAGGGGCCTTGTCTCAGGGGACCTTCCAACTCCCCTCCCTGTGACTTGTAACTAGTGGAGGTGAGGCAGGGCAGGGCAGCAGGGGAACAAGGCCAGAGGCTCACATCAGGTGTTTCAAACATCCCGCTCTCATCTGGACACATTGAGGCTTTAACTCGGGGACACCTTGAGGTTAGTCTCGCCCATTGCTAGGGATGAGGGCTGGAGCATTAGAGGGTATGGAGGGTATTTTATGACTATAATAAATGGAGCTGACCCCAGACAAGAACTATGTGTGGGGCTAGCTAGTGATACAGGGTGTGTCTGAGTGCCTGAGAGAGATGTGGGGGCCCCACAATGGGCTCATGGCAGGATAAGGGTGGAGTCAGCTCCCCCCAGACCAGGGGAAGCTAGTCTTCTCTCCAACATCTGGAGAGTTGGTAGAAAAAGACTGGAGAGGGTAGGCCAGGGTCTCGGGCCAGTCTGGTGTGATCCGAGTGAGCTGCAGGCCCCGCTTGGAGCAAATCTTAGGAGGTTGCTTTTGACTTTCTGTTGCCAGAGGCAGCACCATCCCCAAGAAAGTCTTTGCCTGCAGGCCTGGCTGGGGCTGGCAGCAGGGGCCAGAGAAAGAGTGGGGATTGCTTCCACCGTGCACCCCAAGTCTGAGTAAGTCAAAGCGTGTATGTGTAGGGCGAGAGGGGAGATTCAGGTAGTACGGGTAGAGCAGGCAGCAGACTCCCCCACCCCACAGGGAGTCCAGAGAGCATGCCGTGGTCAGGATGAAATGGAATTGGGGCTGACCTGGGCCCAAGGTCCTGGGTGCTCCAGGACCCATGAGATTTCTAGAGAATGAGCTCCAGATCTGAGCCCTTGTCCACCAAACTCAGTTGTCACCAGATGCCCAAGTATAAGGTCCAGGAAAGCAGATGGCCAGATGTGGAGCCCTGGGATGGCATATTGGCTGCACCTTCCCCTAAGGCTGTCAGAGGGCTGACGGAAAGGGACGCATGATGTGGGGTGGGCAGATGTGGCCCCTACACCTAGGGTGTGGCTGTGTGCAGGAGGATGAGGGTCCCTGAGAGGATGGGCTCACTGCCATCTGGGAGGGGGGCTCCAAACCCAATGGGAAGGGCAGTCAGGAACTTTGCAGGAAGAGGATGGATGGGGTGGCGTGCCCACCTCCACTCAGCCTTCCCCTTCCCTCCAGGACTGTACATACTCCTTCCCTCGTCTGACCCACACGTCCCCTTCGGCCCACTGCCACCTTCTCTTTAGTACCTGCCTCTCACATAGGCCCACCCTCGGGATCCGAGCCAACCGTCCTGCACCACAGACTTGGCTTCTTCACTTACATTTTATTTTTCATTTTGTACAGCAAAATATTCTTTTCAGATGTGTCTTCTGACTGAAGTAACTTTTCTGGTGCTGTTAACGTGTTCCTTTTTTTTAATTTATTTTGCCACCCCTCCCAGTTCCTACTCACCCCGCCCCCACCCACCATCCTCTCATCCATCAGAACCACTTTTTTTTTTTTTTTAATTTTCTTTCCGTTTTGGATAAATTCTCCTACCCACACCCTTTCCATCCTTTCTGTGATTAAGTAGTCACTGCTACAAGTAACAAATGCACTGTGAAGATTCCAGTATTAATAAAAATGGTCCTGTAGTTAACACCTTGGCCCCCGCCTGTCTTCCCTGGGTTGCTGTTGCTCAACCTACTCTGCTTCCTACCCCTGCATCCTGGCCTTCGCCGTCCCTGACCGGGGACGTGAATGAGAAGTGGGGAACCTGGGCAGAGGCCTGAGTCGGTCTTTGAAGTGCTCCCGCGGGGACTCTGGGGGACCCAGAGGGAGAGAACACACACATGGTGAGGGAGGCACCTCAACACTGCAGCAGACCCCCCCAGAGCTAGAACAGGGCGGGAAGAGCTGAGTACTCGTAAGGCTCCACCCACTGTGGACGCCCGGCCACAGGCAGAACCAAAACCACCCTCCAGTCTCCAGAACTGAGTCCCTCCGGGTTCACCTTCACAAGTGCAAGCCAAACCAAGCGAGTGGTCGTTTAATAGAAAAGGAACCGGGATAGCACTGCTGTGGCAAGATACGGCATTTGGTCAGTCCTCGGTCCAGCACCCCGCGTTCAGCACGCTTGCAAAGCCCCAGTGAGTCCCAGAATTCTATGTGGCACCCACCTGTGGGGCAACAGCATTTGCCGATTGCAGAACCAGTCACAGGTAGGGGTGGCTGTGGGGGGCAGCACCAGCCTTTCCCTCCACCCCTCTCCCCTGAGGCTCCAGGTGGCATCACATAGGTCCGAAAGGCAGGAAGCTGAGCCTGGCACGAGGCCTTTCCCAGGAGGTCTTTCCTGCAGGTCTACCTACCTACCATGCCAGAAAGCCTCAGACCCGGGTCAGTTCCTGGAAGACATCCAGTGGTCCGACCTGTGGTCAGCACAGACGGCTCAGGGCAATGGACCATGACTTGAGCCTGGGGGACCGGGCAGGGAGGTGGGGGGTTGCCGAGGCAAAGGGTACACGTGGGTAGCTGCACACTGCATCAAGGATCCTGGACTGTGGGGATGGAGACTCGGCAGCTCACAGTCCTGCCACTTCAGGATGGGACTTTGTTTACCTGTAAGACAGAAAGCAAAAGGCACTGTGGGACAGAACAGCCAAACCACACATTCTCCATACTCTAGGCCCGTCAATCAAGAAAAGGGAGCATTCCCAAGACAGTGTGCACTCTGCCCACAAACCTGGGCCCAGATCCCCGTGGCCTCCCGTTGTCCACCCCACCCATGGGGTCTCCTTACAGCAAGAGCAGTACAGCAGCTCCATAACCCGGAAGCAGTTGTCCAGCAAGGCTTTGGGCCGCACCAGCTTCAGGCTTAGGCCTGGGGTACTCAGAAGAGATAACACGGCTTCCACCTGAGGGCCGATCTCTACATCCTGGGAGGAAGGAAACCAGCAGGACGAGTAAAGTGAGGGGGACCCCACCCCGTGAGAACCGTGGAGGCTGTCTAGCCTGGAAACGGTCTCAACTCAATGAAATACAACTTCCAGGGACCAGAAGGCCATGAGGGTCCCAGCTGCCTTCCCTCACGAGGTTTCTGCTTCTCTGTCGTCAGAAAATAACAACAGAACACAGGCCAGCATGCATATTCACCAGCTTCCAGCCCAGAACACTATCCGTCAGAAAGCAAAGCCCTCGGCTTAAGGAACAAGAGAAGAACCACCTGAGGATCCCTGAGGCATGAGTCACACGACAGAGCTGAACATGTGGCTCCAAGCTCAGATTGCTTCTCGTCACAAAGCTTATCAGAAGGGACAGCAAGGAGAGCGCTGTTGGTCCTGGACGTCCAGGGCCACTGTCGAGGTATCATGGGAACGGTAGGGCCTGAGTTTAAGGACAGCTTTCCCAAAGGTGGCTGTAGCCCAAATAAAGCACTGGGCTCAACTCTGTGCCCCAGACCTTTCAAAATAGCCTCAGTCCTACCCTTCAGTACCTGTGAACGGGGCCCTTTTTTGGAAATTGGGGAGATGTAATTAGTGTTCTCAACTTTACATCATTTTGTTTTTAGAGTGGATGTTAAATCTAATGACTAATCAGTGTTTACCCTCTGTGTGCTGGGAATAGAGCCTAAGGCCCTATGTATGCTAGACCAGCTCTTTACATCCCCAGTCCTGGGATCTCTTTATAAAGAAAGGGCAGAAAGACAGAGATACTGGACAGGAGCTATATGAGAAGAATGAGATAGATCAGTATGATGGGGCCTTTAGCCAAGGAATAGGAAACGCCACCTAAGGCTGGGAGAAGCAAGGACCTTTTGGGAAAGATGTCCCTGCTAAGGTCTTGATTATAGACTTCTGGGTTCCAGAAGTGTGAAAAAATACACTTTGGTTTAAGTCACCCAGTTTGAGCTAATTCATTACAGCAGCCTAGAAAAGTAACGGCCAAAGATGGAATAAGGATGCTGGAAGAGAAAGGAAGCCAGCCCACAGCCCAATTCCTGTGCAGGAAGAATGAAGATGACCAAAGCACGCGCGCGCGCACACACACACACATATACACCCTTGCCTAGTGACAACCACCACCACCAAGGGCCACTGAGTCTTCATCAGAGACACTCAAGGTCTGAAACAGCAGTCGGGATATTCTTCCAAAAGCTGAAGAACAGCCGGAAGCTGGACATGGTGGCATACACCTATAACCTCTCGCTCGCTCGGGAGACTGGGGGATGCGGAAGGAACACAAGCCTAAGCCAGCACGGACACAGAACAGAGACCTTGACTCTACAAACAAAGAAAAATAGCTAAATGCTAATAAGCAGATCCTCAAAAAGCTTAATATAGCATTACCACGTGACCCAGCTGTCATAGCATCGCCACATGACCCAGCTGGCAGAGCATCCACATGACCCAGCGGTCAGAGCATCACCACGTGACCCAGCAGGCAGAGCATCGCCTCGTAACCCAGCAATTTCACTCCTATTAGTACACTTTCTTTTTCCAGAGCTGGGGTTTGAACTTAGGGGTTCACAAGTACTGGACAATCACTCTACTATCAAACTGTACCCTGAACCCAGTGTATGACCTTCACTGGCTTTGCTTTTGGTGGGTGTTCTTTCTTTTGTACATTGTTGTTGTGAGACAGGGTCTCACTATGTAGCTCTGACTACCTGGAACTCGCTGTGAACACCAGGCTAGCCTCAAACTCAGAGATCCACCTGCCTTTCCTGAGTGCTGGAATTAAACATGCTCCTTTACACCTGGCTCTTGCTTTGGTTTTGAGACAAGGTCTGAATATGTAGTCTAGACTGGCTCCAATCTTACAAAACTGTCACGCTTTCTCTGCCAAGTGTGGGATTAGAGTCTGTTCAACTTTGTCCAATTCAACAGATAAAGTTAGAAAACTTTCTCTAAGGGCAAGCAGCTAGACAAATGGTGTATGACCCATGTTAGAAACTATACCAAAAAAAGCAAGTACATAATAGGAAAAAAAGACAAATTATAGGTTTTGGGGGTGGAAAGAGGTGAGAAATGACTGCTTCCTGTATACAGTTTCCGCGTGAGGTGACGGAAGAGTGCCAGAAATGGATGGGGTGATAGATGCACAGCCCTGGAAGTGTAATTAATGCCCCCGAACTGTAAACTAAAAATAGTCAAAATAGCAGCCTTTACATTGCAAAGTGTGCTCCCTCTTAGCACAGCCTCCACGGTCTCCAACAAAGACTTTGTTTTAGTTACCTCTTCCTGAAATTACTTTTTTTCTTATTTATGTGTATGAGTGTGCATCTGTGTGTGTGTGTGTGTGTGTGTGTGTGTGTGTGTGTGTGTGTGTGTGTTCCATGTATTTGGGAGTACCTATGGGGGACACTAGAGGGTGCTGGATTGCCTGGAATCTGAGCTGGGAGTCAACAGACTTGGGTGCCAGGATCCTCTCTGAGAGCAGCAAGTGCTCTTGATCACTGAGCCATCTCCCCAGGCCCAGGTTCTTACGGAAACAATGAAAGCTGAACAGAAAACAAAATAATGCAGAACCCAGAGTCCAGACATCTTCCAGTAGATGAGGCGATAGGATGAGGTCATCAAATCTGCAGTTTGTGACTGGATAAGATTTAGGCATCAACCCTTTCCTTTACAAGTGAAACCCTGCAAGCCCAGGAGTGGAACGACTTGTTCAAGGTTATACAACTGGGAACAGAGCTAGTGTCTGGGTCCCGAGACCCAACCTCTTACATCACACTACCGTGATCAAAGAAGGTAAGTAAAATCCATCTTCAAAGCTAGGACCCAGACTCTTCACAGTGTTAGGAAGGAAGGAGGACTAAAGGCTGCAGAGCTGGGCACAGCTCAGTGGTGGAGGGGGTGAGTACCTAGTACCTGGTTCAACTTCCATCAGGGGAATGGGGAAGGTAAAGGGGCCACCCAGCTACATCCAAATATTAAAATCATCTGTGTTCAATGTTTCCATACTGAGAGCCCAGGACCAGATCAGGACTGGGGCCCTCACACTCTCCCCAGCTTCACTCCATGAGCCTCCTGGAGTCTGTTCTATGGGTAAAACAAAAGAAAGGCCTCTACCTCAAGCCAGATTTAGTTTGCAAAGGGCACCCATATTGCCCACAAACATAAAAGGGCAGATTCCTATAACCTTGGCAGGAGCTGGAAGGGCCATCCAGGAGTGGTTCTAGACAGCTATGACAAAAGTCACCTGTCCCTGAGCTCACGGTTGTGTCAGATGGTCTGGGCCTGGGCCAAGGTGGTCAGGCAGCAGGCTAAGCAGAGTGGCACGTGGGTCCCAGTAGGCACACACCAAGGGCCCGAGGCGGGTGGGACATGCAGCTAAGCCTGTCACTTTACAACTACCAGGAGTTGGCTACCAGATGGTTTGGGGTTTGTCTTCAAGACAGGATCTCACCATGTAACCCAGACTGGCCTCAAATTTAACATTGTTCTTCAGCCTCCAGACTCCTGGGTTGCAGATGGCCACACCATCTCTTTTCCCTTCTATTTTTTTCTAAACTAAGTCATAGCCATCAGAGGTCACCCTTGGTGTTCCATGGGTTTTGATAAAAACCTAATGTCACGGGTTGATCTGCGATTTCCATATTACACAGCAGAGTTTCCAAAGGGAAAGCCCCGCCACCCACCTCTCTTTCCCCCTTACTGGAGGAGCCTCGCTTTTCAGATGCAGAAGCGAAGTCAGAGGGTTCCCTGGCTTGGCCCAGACCCAGGGCCTGAGAGGCAAAGCCTGGTCTACACAGCAAGTTTCAGGCCAGGCAGGACTTCGCAGTGAGACTCTGTCTCTAAACAAACGAACAAACAAATAAATGCTGTCTCATGGCTGTGATGCTCCCCGTGCGTCCATGGACTCACTCTGGTTGCCTGCACAAAGTCAAGCCAGCTTTATTGGTGAACAGTTCAGTGAGCAGCACTAATTGGCCTCGACGGGTAATAAAATAAAAATGATGAGCCCGGGGAAGTGGTGGCGCACGCCTTTAATCCCAGCATTCAGGAGGCAGAGGCAGGTGGATCTCTGTGAGTTCAAAGCCAGCTTGGTCTATAAGAGCTAGTTCCAGGACAGGCTCCAAAGCTACAGAGAAACCCTGTCTTGGGGCCAGCGGGGGGAGGGGGGAGAGTTCTAAGTTCCTCCTGTCCCCGACCCCAGCTCTCATTTGCTCTGCTACATCATGGTAATCATGGCATCTCCTCCCCCCTTGGTCACTTCACCTGCACCCCATTCCCCTGCCCCCCACATCCTCAGCACACGCCAGAACTTTCCCTCTGCAGACCCACACGCATGCCCATAGCTCACCATGAGGCTCCGCTGAACATTCTCCAGCAGCGTCTGAACTTCCTGCAGATAATCCCAGGATGGGTGACCCTGGAGCAGCACGTCCAGCACAGACTCGGTGGCGTTGAGACTCACCAGGACCCACAGGTACCGCAGCTCCCGCTCGCTCACACGGGCCTTCTGCTGCAGGGACCGGAGAGATCGCAGAAATGCAAGCCAGGCCTTTGGGCTGCGACCCCACCCCAAGGACTTGCCACTGCCTGGGAGCAGCCGCAGTCACCACTGTGGCCAGCAGACAACCTGGGGCCTAGGACAGCCGCAGGCTGCCTGGAGTGGCTAGGGCAAGGCCCCTGGTCAGTCGGACAACCTGCCGAGGACCCACATGCTTCTGAGGGCATCGCGGAAGGCAGAAGCTCCCCATCCCAGGAGGAATCCTCACCAGCCTCGTGATGTTGGCGACTCTGAGCACCCCCTCATAAGGCACAGGGATCCTGTAGTTGATGGGGAAGTAATGTTTCTGGGGAGGAACAAAGTGTGAGGTCAGAAGCAGAAACGGCTTAGACAGGACCCCCAGAGAGGGACCCGGCCTAACAGTGACAGGTAGACAGGTCCTCTAACGAGAAAACAGCTCTTTCCCCCCGAGACAAAGGGAAGGTGAAGTCAGATACACAGTTTTATAAGGGCTGAAGTTTTAGGCCTAGGGTATGGACCAAGGGCTTTGAGGAAGACATGTTACTTTGGAGGTGAGGAGTGCGGATCGTCTGATGCTTACAGAGGCAACCTTTGCACAGCTTTGTGAACACACTAAGCACCAATGAGCCAGATACCTTATTATTTGTTGTTATTATTAATAGTGTGTGTGTGTGTGTGTGTGTGTGTGTGTGTGTGTGTGTGTGTGCAGGCATCCACATGCCTCAACACTGGGGTCGGTTCTCTCCTTCCACCTTTATGTGGGTTCTGGGAATTAAACTCAGGTCATCAGACCTCACCAGCCTGTGTTCTATGCTTTCAGTTAGTGGGTTGTATGGGATATGAATGACTTCTCAACAAAAACAGTTTGAAAGACAGTCCTAAAGAGCTGGGCACATGCTTGCAAGCCCAGAACTCAAGAAGCTGAAGTGAGAAGATCTCAAGTTCAAAATCAGCCTCTCCAGCATAATGAGACCCTGTATCAATAAAGCAAAACAAGGGCCAGGGATGGTAGTGTGCTTGCCCAGCATAGACAAGGCCTGGGTTTGCATAAGGCCTCATCACAGCGTGACCAGGCTCATTGGCACCCATCTGTGATCCTGACCCTCAGAAAGCAGAAGCAGGAGGGTTAGAAGTTCAAGGCCATGGTGTTGAAGGAGACCGCTCTTTCGTTTCCTGGCTGCCCAGTCCCAAATATATGTAGTAAGTTAGGTCTTAAAGGAGGAGGGTGGGGGAGGAGAGAGAGAGAGAGAGAGAGAGAGAGAGAGAGAGAGAGAGAGAAACAAATAAAAATCTAGCCATGTAGAAACACTACAACACCATTTGGACATCTCCAGTCTCCAAAAAAGGAACCATTTTCTGACTTGAAGGTCTTTGTCCAAAGTGAGTCCCTGGAGACCTTTTCTGAGTTATAGGCTGAAAGCCATATGGAAGTAGGTTAAAGGTCGGTGAAGAAGGAGGGAGCCGGTGGAAGGTGATCCACTTATACACTTGGTTATGTGATAGACCAAGATGGACAATGTCACTAAAACACTGGAGCTGACATATCTGGGGTGGGAAGTGAGCGCAGCTCCAGGTGAGCCTTGGGACTTGGGAACAAGGACCCGTTTTGGCGCCCTTCCGGTTACCATGTACTGAAGCCGGTTCTTGTACTGCAGCTTGACCCGAAGGTAGCCCGTAAGGTCACACTCCTTATCTTGGGTCAGAGTCCACATATCCAAATTCTCGTTCCCCAAAGTCATGCCAAGTAGGATCCCAAGACCTGTGGGCCACAGCCAACGAGAGCCTATGAGCACCGAGCACTGTGTGTGTGCACGCCCCTGCTGTGCACAGCTGTGTCAACTCACACCCCCTGCTGTGCACAGCTGTGTCAACTATCATCCATTTTCAAGGTTGGCAAGTACTGATGGGAAATGCAGGGGAGCAGAGCCCTGGAATAGCAAGCCCATCCTACCCCTGGGCAGCAGAGTCCTCAGGGAGACACCCGAAGTCTGGTCTCCAATCTCCCCTACTTCCTGTTTTGTGGGCACTCTCAGCCCCTTCCTTGGTGTTACAGGTTTCACAACTGTTGCTTGATTTTCCCTTCAGAGCTTTGGATACAAAGTCTAGTTCCAGATCTTAAAATGGCTTTTGGTGACCCAGACACTTTCTTCTGTGAACTATATGACCTTGGCATTCTCCTCCATTAGATGTACCAAAAGGGCTATAGCTCCTTCCAGTCTGAAGGCTCTGGGATGCTAAACAGACCACATACACCGTCTGTCCCAACAATGGCAAGTCTTTTGCCAGGAATTACCACTAGGTGTCACTGTAGCCTCAAAAACAACTCTCCAGATCTGCACACGTAAACAGAAAAAAAAAAGTATTTGAGAGAACTTACAAAAAATATGAATAGGGGTCAAGAGAATGAGAGAAACATAGAAGAGAAAACGACACCCAAAAGGCCAACCTCACTATTAAGAGAAATAAATTCAAATGAGAACAATTGGATTCAGTCTGTAACCAGAGAAACAAATACACACAAAGCCAACCAGGGATTTCAAGGAAATGGAAAGGTTTTTATGAGATCATTTCATTTTAATAATCCTGATGCTGCCAAAAGAGCTCTCAGCCTGGAAATACACTTGGCACATTTAATAATAAAATGGAATTAAACTCTACAACCTTTGACCCACGAATGCTGACCCACTAAACTCATAAACTAGAAAGAAAACAGGACAGATTTATGGACAAAGACTTACACAGCATCATTATCCCTTCTTAACATTTATTTCCTTGTCGGAGAGATGACTCATGGTGATGAAATACTTAAGATATGTTTAGCGACCCTCTTAAGGGAGCCCGCGCCATCAGTATGGGCGATGCATAGGATGACTTTAGGTTTATTAATTGATTTCCTGTGCTTTCAAAAAAACAAATATGCCAAATTTCTGTGGAAGATTATTACAGTCGTCTTTACATTCTAGGACATTTTTTTTAATGTTATTCAATAAGTATCTCTAAAAACAAAAAAAACCAAAAAACAAAACAAAACAAAACAAAAAAACACGGTCTCTCACTATGCATCCCTGGCTGGCCTAGAACTTTCTATGAAGACCAGACTAGCTTGAACTCACAGAGATCCACCAGCCTCTCCTTCTTGGGTGCTGGGATTAAAGGTGTGTGTCACCATATCCAACTTACTATCTATTATTATTGTCAAAACCAATAATTATCTTTTGCCTTTTCTTTTCTCCCCTTTCCTTTTCACCAAGACAGCCAGGCAGGCTGAGGCCCCTCCCCAGTCTGTCATCATTGTCATCACTAACCGGGTCTTCCCTTTCCTGCCACCTTGAAGGTGTTTGTCTTTCTATCTCCACTGGCCTGGACCATGCTCCCTCTTAGCTTCCCTCCCCTTCCTCCCAGCCCATCCCGCTTGTTCCCACTTGCTGGACCAAGCCCTAGGACCAATGTTTACCATGATGCTTGGGTCTGCTCAGGCCCTGCACTCCATATGAGCCACAGCTCCTGCCCTCCCCACCTGCAGAACTCTGACAACCACTCTGTGTAGCCCTAGCTGTCCTGGAACTCGCTCTGTAGACCAGGCTAGCCTCGAACTCACAGAGATCTGCCTGCCCCTGCCTCCCAAGTGCTGAGATTAAAGGCGTGCGCCACCACCACCCAGCTGACAATCACGTTCTTGCAAGGAGACAAGCTTGCAAGAATCAGTCTTTGCTATACACCTAACACAGTCTTGGGCTGAAGGAACAGATAAACACAACCAGTATTAGGCCAACAAGATGGCTCAGTGGGCAAAGGGGCTTGCCACCAAGTCTGATTACCTGAGTTCAATCCCACGAACCACACGGTAGGAGAGAACTGTCCTTTGACTGCCTGCCACACAGGTGCCACAACACACAAACCTGCTTAATGGATTGAATAGTGTCCCCCTCCCAAATTCTTATTCACCTGGAATCTCAGAATGACTTTATTTGGAAACAGGTTCTTTGCAGGTGTTAATTAAAACAAAGGCTGTTGATGTGAGATCGTCCTGGGCTTGGGGAAAGCCTAGCTCTAATGACTGCTATTCCAGGAGGAAGATCGTGCAGAGGGAAAGGACTTGCAGATGGGGGTGATGTGCAAGCTTGCAATGCTGCCACCTGACAAGGGACACAGGCAGTCACAAGGAATCTGGAAGAGGCAGGAGGACCCTCCCCTAGAGCCTTCAGAAGCTATGGTGGCCAGTGACCCCAATTTCAGACCTCCAGTCCCCAGAACTAAGAGGAAATACCTCGATAGAGCTGAGTCACAAATTCATAGTGATACGTTAAGGGAGCCTACATCCCCCAAGATCCTCAGTCCCCTGCAATGTGGGGCCCCTGCCCTGCCCATCTCTCCCCGCAGCCAGTCCTTGCCAAGTCCTGAGAGATGCCATCTGAAGCTCCCCTCCTACTTGCATTCATTTCCAGCCTCACTTCCCCTCAGGTGGGGCTAGAGAGATGGCTCAGCCAATAAAGACACTTGCCATCAAGCCCTAGGGCCTGAGTTCAATTCCCAGGACCTACACTTCCTCTGGCTTACACATGCATACCATGATACACACACATACACCACACACACACACACACACACACACACACACACACACACTTACACACACACCAACACAATAAGTAAATAAATCTAATCACTTGGGACTGGAGAGGTAGCTCGGTGGTTCAGCGTGCTTTCCGCCCTTCTAGAGGACCTGAGTTCAGTTCCCAGCACCATGTCTGTGGCGGTAACTCCAGCTCCGAGAAGATCTAATACTTCTGGCCTCCAAGGGCCACTAGCACTCATGTGTACACACCCACACATTGACACGTAATTAAAAATACTGAAACTGAATCTTTAAGTGTGATTGCTTCACCTCAAGAACTGACCCTCAGATACCTAATCCCTCAGTCCTCTGCCTGGTATTTAAGGCCTCAGGAGCCTGCGCATGACCTGCCTGCCCCTTCCATCCAAACCCCACTCAGCCCCACCACACACACTCGTCCCTGCTTGGAGAGCTATCCCCATCACCCTACATCTATCACTGTCTATCACCAAACCTTTGTGTCCTCCTCGAAAAGACCCTCACCCACGCTACCACCCATGTTCCATTAAGAGGTGGAAGCTTCCAGAACACTGGGTCTGTCTGGCAACTTCACCCATTCCGAATGTCCCCACCCTTTGCAGTGTCCGGGCACCAGTCACAGACTGTGCCCAGCTCTTCTCTGGAGACTTGTGGTTTCAGCCCCTGCCCGCATTTATTTGACATAAATAACTTGTGGCGGTGGGGCCGGGAGGTGCAAAGCAGGCCAGGTCCTTGTCACAACGACTCTGCAACAGCCTGCGGCTGCCATTGAGTCTTGGAGTCTGTGAGGGGCTCAGCCTGGCTTCCCACCCAGCAGCTATAAACATCCTACAGGTCCTTTGCTGATTTCTATCCTTGTTTCAACTTACTCTTCTTTTTATCAGTAACGTCATTGTCTTTCTTTTTTTTAATTTTGACCTGCTGTGGAGGCAGGGGTGGAGGGGGCTGGCGGCTTCCTTCCCCAGGCCTCTCCTGCCCCACGTGTTGTGCCTGCCCTACCCCCAACTAGCCACACCCAGGAGGATGGAAATCCTCTCTCTACAACCTCTGTCCCCACCCTGCACCCCAGAGCCAATGAAACTACAGAGGTGAGAAGCTGCCACCCACCCCAGCGCCTGCCCCATCCTGCCTCCATTGTGACCACTCAGCTTGTACATCTGAGCCTGAGGTCAGAGGCAGACAGAGCAGAGGGTGGCCGTGGATCTCTCATCCCGGAGGCTGCCTGAAACCCTCTGGAAAGCATCCCAACTTCTTACCAACAAGAGCTGCCCTGGTTGCTATGGTTACAGTAGAGCCACCCACCCACCAAGACCTTCCAGGACAGGATCCCCAGGTATAACTCCCCCTCCCCCCAGTACTCACAGTATAACCAGGCGAGTCCCCAGGGCATGATGGTGCACTGGGTGCCCCCTGAGAGCAGAGGCACTGTCCCCAGCAGTGTGTCCAGTGGCCTGAGCTAGGACCTACATGGCCTCGGGTCAGCAAGGGTGGCCACCAAGTCGGGAAGGGCTGGCCCAGGTTGAGAGGGGGCAGGTACTCCTGGGGTAGCTACCGCCCTATCTGCTTGGCAGGGCGGAGGACAGCCAGGGGGCGGTGGCTGCCAGTCCCATTGCAGCTCGGGAGCTGGTGTGAGACTGTGGCTTTGGGGTCTCGGAAGGAAGAGGAGGAAGAGAAGGGAGTCCCCAGCAGGCCTCTTGGAATCTGGAGCTGGGTGGCGCTTTCTCTGGTTTCTCCGACTGCCGCCGCTGCTCGGTGTGAAGTCTAGCTCTGGAAAAAGAAGGAGGAGAGAGACTGATTATGTAAGAGCGAGGCTGCCACTCAGCCACAAGCCAGCAAAGGAAGACCCACCACGCACCAAGCTGTCCCCGCGGCCAGTACTAAGACACCCAGCCTGGTCTTCACACGCAAGGAATAACTCCAGGGCCAAGGAGTGAGCGAGTCTACAAGTTGGGGCTGGCAGCCCTGAGCGGAGACTACAGGAACAGTGGAGTTTACAATCCAGGAGGCTGTCTGGAGGAGGTGAGGCGCCGGGTCAATTCCAAGTGACACATGCTACAGGGAAGGCTGAGGAGTGGAAGATGTCTCACCCTGCATTCACTGCCATCTAGCTATTTTCTGTCACCCATCCGTGTCCCCAGTCAGATAAAAACCGATGGGCCAGTTTCATTTGAATTCCAGATCAAGGAACACTTTTTCTGGGGAAGTATTTGATGTGTAATACTGTAGGTACCGAATGTTGCATGGGGCATACTTACACCAAGAAATAAACAAACATCATAGCCAGCTGTGGGAACACAACAGGGAGGTCACAGCATGCTAGCAGCTGGGGCAGGAGGATGAAGAGGCCAGACGGGGCTACATAGCAAGACTCTGGTCTCTAAAAAGCAAACAAAAGACTGGGTGTGGTGGCGCACATCTTTAATCCCAGCAGAGGCAGAGGTAGGTGGATCTCTGTGTTCAAAGCCAGCCTGGTCTACAGAGAGAATTCCAGGACAGCCAGTGTTATGGCACAGACTGAGAAACCCTGTTTTGTTTTGTTTTGTTTTGTTTTGCTTTGCTTTGCTTTGTTTTGTTCTGTTCTGTTTTAAAAAGTATGCAAGAGGAATTTCAGCCTGGCCTGCTGGTGATTAACCCTGAAAGTCAACACCCCCAAAGAGCCCAACACACTCCCCCACTTTTCCCAGTCCCAGCAGATCGCGGGCCCTGGGCAGAGACAGCCTGGAAACTGGGTTTCTCACATGGCACTATTCCATCCCTTCGGGATTTCCTCTCCCCGTATCTATCGGCTTAGGTCAGGAGAAATGCCCACCACTCTAGGACACAGGGAAGGGGGATGGGGCGAACAGATGTGATGGGGGAGACCCTCTCCATCGTTCCATCTGTGACATACCTATGGAATGTACTGAATTGTACCAAATTGCTGGCCCTTGGCTGGGGCTGCAGCTCAGTGGTAGAGAGCTTGGTGAGTATACAGGAGGCCCTGAGGTCAAGTCCCAGCAAAGAAGCCAAGAAGCTAGGAAGTAGGAAGACCAAGACCCAGACTGGGCTGCCCAAGGAATTTTTGGCTAAGGCTAGCCTGGGCAACATAACAAGTTTCAGGTAAGCATGGGCTACATAATAAGACTCCGTCTAAAACAAAACAGCACAGCAGACATGCTAGCCCTCCTCCTCAGAGCCTCTGAAGCAGCCAGGGCCACATCCACTAAGTGCATTGCTCAGATTTACCCTGGGTTAAGACTCTGGACCTCAGCCCTCCCTTCTTCTGATCCCTACTCCTCCTCCTTCCCCCCCCCATCCCACTCCAGTGACCCTTCCTATGCCACCTACACTAGCCATGCTCCCCCAGGACACAGTCTCATATTGGCTCTCGAAGGCCTCACACTTGGTGGCTGTGCAGTCAAGGATGACCTTAAACTCCTGATCTGGTCCCTACCTCCTGAGAGCTGGGCTTACAGGCATGCATGCTTCACCACACTCCATTTATACAGGGATGAGCTCAAGCCGAGGGCTTCATGCAGGCTAGACAAGCACTCTACTAACCCAGGTACATTCCCAGTCCCAACTGTATCCTGTATCTTTTCATTGTTACTTGCATGTTATGGAAGTCTTATATACATACATACACATACACACACACACACACACGTATGTGTGTATAGTTTTTAATGTATAACTAAGAATTTTGACAAATTCATAGAGCTATGTAACCACTACAATAACCCATTTGGTTTTTTATTTTGTTTTGTTTCCAAGACAGGGTTTCTCTGTGTAACAGTCCTAGTTGTCCTGGAACTAGCTCTGTAGACCAGGCTGACCTCAAACTCAGAGATTTGCCTGCCTCTGACTCCCAAGTGCTGGGATTAAAAGAGGGCACCACCAACGCCTGGCTATTTTTATTCTGTTTTGTTTTGTTTTGTATGTTTATTTTTGAGACAAGGTTTCCCCGTGTAACAGTCATGGCTGTCCTGGAACTTGATCTGTGTAGACCAGGCTGACCTCAGACTCACAGAGATCCACCTGCCTCTGCCTCCCAAGTGCTGGGATTAAAGGCATGTGCCACCATGGTCCAGCAATATTCCATTTATAAAACACTTCCTTCACCCAAAAAAAATCCCCCGCCTCTGTTGCTCTGTAGTGAGCGCCTCTTCCCACAGCGGCACTAACACCACCCATCTGATTTCCGTCCAGCACTACCCCCTCCCCGGAATGTCACAGAAATGCCATCTTGAGGTATAGATTTTGTGTGTCGCTTCTTCCACTTGACATGATGAATCTGGGGTGTTGTCATGTTGACGTGGCCTGTTAATAGTTGCCTCTTGTGTAAACAAATCATTGTATGTCTATCTCCAATAAAGAAGAATTTGAACCGATCCAGTCTTTGATGATGATGAAAAACATCAAAGTCCTCAGTGGACAGGCTTCAGTGTGAGTGGAAGCTTCCACCTCTCAAGTCCTTCTGTGACTTTGAGTCACGTCACGCTGCCCTTTAGGCCGTCAGGTCTTCATGCCAGTCTCAGAGCCTGGGCTGCCCACCACCACTCCTTATCTTGAACTCTCCCCTGCACAGGATTTGGCTGGGGGCAGGAGTGTTCTATAGTCCAGACCTCCTCACACAGCACACACAACAAAGGGGTTCTTCACCTTGTCCAAACGGAAGAAATTCTGTTGTACTCTGTGTGTGTGTGTGTGTGTGTGTGTGTGTGTGTGTAGTGGACACACACGTGTGTGCAGATGCATGACCATATACATGCACAGAAGTCAGAGGAGGGTTTCAGGTGTCCTGCTCAATCACACTCCACCGTATTTCTTTGAGGCAGGGCCTCTCACTGAACCTGAAGCTAGGCTGGCAGCAGGACACTCCACCTCCAACCCCCCCACCCCCCTCCTGTCTACCTCCTCCACAACACTGGGGGTTTAGGTACATGTATAGCTAAGCCTGTTTATTTATTTATTTCTGCTTGGGTACCAGGAGTTAAAACTCAGGTCCTCTTTCCTGCTGAGCCACATCCTCAGCCCCTGTTGCCGCTTCTTCATTCAGAAAGGACTCCAGCATTGAACCCCACCATGCATTTCGGTTTGTGTGTTCCCAATGGAGAAGCCAAGTGGGAAACAGAGGCAGGGCCAACTTTGGGTCACACATATATCAAGTCTGTAGCCCCAGTATGAGCCCCATTGGAATGGGAAAGCAGGAGAAAACTCCAAGGAAGTTGCCAATAGGACGGTGTCTGACAACAGAGTTTGGATCTGGGGTATGGGCACAGGGGACATGAGGCGACTGGCTGTGGTGGTTTAAATGAGATGCCCCCCCCATAGTCTCAGACATTTGAATATCTGGTCCCAGTTGGTAGTGTTGTTTGGGAGGCTAAGGTGTGGCTTTGTTGGAGGAAGGGTGTCACTCAAGGCCGACTTTAAGAGTTTAAAGACTCACCATTTGGAGTTCAGGGCTCAAGATGCAAGCTTTCAGCTTGCTGTTCCAGCCACCCCACCTGCCACCTCCACTCCACCATCATGGACTCTTAACTCTCTGGAATCATAAGTTCAAATAAATTGCTTCCTTCTGTAAGTTACCTTGGCCATGGTGTTTAGCGTAGCAACAGGAAGTGCAGCAGCAAAAGAAGGTCCTGTTTAGAGCCCACAGCCTTGCCCTCCCTGGCAATGAGACCCAACCCTACCCTGCCATCTTTCTATCCTCAAGATTGTGACTTCCTCAGATCCTGGGAGGGCAGAGCCTGCCTGGATTTCTCTGTCTCTACCTCTCTGTCCCCATCTCAGGGTGAGAACAGAGGGATGGAGGTGGATGAAGGGTTTACGCCTTTCCCAGTCTGCCCCACCCCACCCCTGGGGCCCACGGCATTATTGGGAAACTTGTGGAAAGAAAGGACAAAAAACGGGGGGTGGAGTGGTCAGCATAGTTCCCCGATGAAGAGCAGTTTCAAAGTCACAGAAAAAAAGGAAAAGCAAATATCAGTCTCATTAAGTCATGACTCCAGGGTCCTGGGGCAGGGGCAGGGTCAGAGAGAGGGCAGGTGTAGGGGGAGGGAAGGGACTGAATGAGCTAAATCCTCCATGGAGGGAAGCAAGGACTTGATTGCATGATTTGGGAGGGATTGGACACAGCTGGGTGTATTGGTTTTGTGGGACTGGGGTTTGAGCGTAGGGCTGACAGCATGTTAGAGGTAATTGAGGTCATTCTTGTCTTTTCCAATGAGCTACACCTCCAGCCCTTGAGAGCTGTTTTTGCTTTTGTTTTTACTTTGAGACAAGGTCTCATGGTGTAGTCCTGGAACTCATCTATGCAGAACAGGCTGGTGTCGAAATCAAGAGATCCACCTGCCTCTGCCTTCGCCTTCCCAGTGCTGGGATTAAAGCTGTGTGCCGCCACGCCTGGCTGTTAGCTGTTTTGTTTGTTTTTTTATTTGTTTGTTTGTTTGCTTTCTGTTTGTTTGCTTAAATTCCTATATGTAGAAAGTAGAAGCTGGGGAGAAGGGACAGATGGAAGTCTGGTGTTGTTTATAATACCGCAGTGACGCAGTGAACTATTTTATTCTTTAATTCTGCAGGTAGAACTTGAATTTTTTGTTTGTTTGTTTGAGACAAGGTTTTATGTCTGGATCCCAGACTAGCTTCAAATTCAGCGTGTAGCCTCAAAGATTACCTTCAACTTCTGTTCCTCATGCTTCAGCCTCCTGTACTGGGATTGATTATGGGAGGTGCCACCACTGCCCTGTCATGTATTACCAGGGATCAAAGCGAGAGCTTGAGACAAGAGCGCTCTACCACTGTGCTACATCATAGCCTACAATTTGGACTCTTACTTTTTTTTTTCTTCTTTTTAAGGAACTCCACCTTTGAGCTATCCACCCAAGTCAGAATCCTCTCACTGTCCCCCTTCTTCCCAAGTCACCTGCTTTGGTCTTTCCTTGCCTGAGGACTAACTAATGCCTCTTCCTCAAGGAGGGAGCATTGGAATCTAAGTTCTGTTGAGTTCTGGAGCCAGTTCAGCAGCACAGAAGACATACAAGGAAACAGTCAGGACCTACGCATGAAGCTCTGAGAGTTCCCAGGAAGCCTCTACCGGCTCTACCACAATCACCACTCAATAGAGGCTGAAAGAGTTTGTGTTTCATGAACTGTAGGCAAGGATGAGGCCATCTGGGTTGATCTTCATTGAT